AAAAAAAAAGTCTGATTTTTTTGAAATTATCCTACAGTATCATTTATGAGCCATTTATTAGGGACAGTAGATAAACGACTGCAAGAACAAACCCACTCAAAAAGAGAGTCGATGACGCCAAACACTGTCACTTCCCCTCTACTCTTCCTCCCGTTTTCTCTCCAACCTCTATCGGACCTCTCCTTCTAGTTTTAAAGCCTTCGCTAACTCGATAACTTGCGAAAACGCACTTATTTCTAATAACCGCCTTTCGACTGGCCTCCTATCCCACAGCTATTCAATTTGCTCTTGACCAGAATAGCCCTATTTTCTGGTGAATTTAGCAGACAAAATTGAAGACGAATTTTAAAAGGGAGAGAAAAGTTTGCAAGACGAAAACTGCTAGTTAGCCACTGAATTACTGCATCAAACTTTAAAGTTTAGTTGACGAGCTTCCTTAACATTTTGGTACTTGCTTACGCAACCTGCAGTTCGTTTGTCACCATTCTGATTCAGCCCTCGAATTCCCCGTCAGAGATATAGCAATCAACTACAAAAAGAGTTAAAACATGTTTCACGTGCTCCCCTTCTCCAGCTATGAAACTAAAGTAAATTGGCTGAAAAAGTTAAAGCCAAAAGTCTTCTTCCTCATGCAGCTGTTATTTGCAAAAAGTTCAGATATTCCGATCGTTAGCAGAGAAAAAATTTTTAGAAAACTGCTTTGCAAAAACTACATAAGCACTGCTCCAGTATTCTAAATTTATATAACTTTAGCGTAATAATTTGAGCGTCTACCACTTGTACCGTGTTTGGTAGCAGTAAGATATTTCATTCGTCTGATTATTAAAAACTAATTTAAGCAAAAAAAGTTTAGTCTGTAGAGGTAGAAAAAAAAGGTAAAAAAGCTTCTTAAAACATGTCTGGAAATTTCAGAAATGATTCTTAAGACTGTAAGCAGTTTCTGAAGAAAAACCAGAAATTTGAATAAATGCTATAATTTGCTAAAAAAGTTACGTTTTTAGCTATAGTTTTTAGAGAAGATTTTTACTGCTAGAGAACAACTAGAAAACTAGTCGATCGTAAGGCAACAAAAAATCAGTTGAAAACCCTAACGTGATTAACCTTGACTCCATTTTCCTGTGCCAGCCATACAGACTAAACTAACCGGCAAAACCTGTCTCCACTTCAAACAAAAAAAATTTCAAAAATTACCTTTAAAAAAGCGTAACTGCATAAAAAACTGGTGATGCAGTACAAGTTTTATTTCTTAAAAAATATTATCCTTTTTTTTGATCTTACTTGTTATATTTCTTCACCTTCCTTTTAACGAAAATTCCCGATTAATGGAAACTATTTGTCACGTCATCAATTGTCAATGGTCTTTTTCCCAAATAAAATCCTGGTCGTTAGACATTCAGTAAGATGCAAGGAGACAAAACTACCGTCTGCATTAAATCCTCATCAAATTGCAATCAATCCTATTGATTCTAATGGTAAAAACAAATAAAAACAGCTTAAAAATTAAAACTTTTGCAGTATCTTTTTCTTTGACTATAGAATTAACCTTTAATACTGCACGATTATTTTTTGCATAAAAAATTTTCAATAATAGCAAAAAATGACAAATAAGAAAAGCTAAGAAGAAAGCATAATAACCACGCATGTACACATACTCTGATACCATTTATTGGTTGTCATACACCCGTTTCGTCACAAAGTTTTAATTTGTTGATTTAACCGCGCCTTCAGATAATAAAATTTTTTTCTTTTTACTTTTTTTTTTTTAAAATGCGATATACGAATAACCAAAATTACATCTTTGGCTTCCCAAGAGAATGATATTAATACCAGAAAAACAAGCAATACAAAAAAAAAGAAAAAAAAACGAGTGATAACCTCACAAAGCATGTAAAAAAAGCATATTCTTTTGTTTATTCTTTTCAGTTTTTTTAGGGCGCACATCAAAGCCACTATTACTCCAAAACAAAGAAAATTAAATAAGTCAGGAAAAAAAGTATAAAAAAACAAAGCTTTAATTAAAATCTTACCTGAAATTGTAGTCAAGTCATATCTTTGTTGTTCAGAAAACTGCCGAATAAATATGCTGTTTTTGGAGGTTCAGATATCAGGTCACAAATAAAAAAAAAGAAAAATAGATAAATAAATAAATAAAGTTGGAGGTTGGTAACCCAAGAAAATACAGTTTTTGCTTCTTCCCTTCTCTTCCTTTTTCTCTTCCCTTTCTTCTTGTCCTTGTTCTGCTCTACTACTCGTCAGGTACCAATATATACTACAACTTCTACAGTACCACCGTCTGCTCCCACCGAAACCTGTAGCACTCAGAATCAGCCGCAGTAGCAGTAGCAGCAGCAGCGGCAGCAGCGGCAGCAGCAGCAGCAGCAGCGGCAGCAGCGGCA